AAGACCTTTTATCTGTGATGTTTTTTTTTACATTAAAATTCATAATTTCCAGAAATTATTAAATTTGTTTGGTTAATCATAAATATTATATATCTTTTGAAAATAAAAAAGTAACTTAGTGTTTTACCTATAAATTTTAATTATTTTAAAGAAACGAAAAGGGAAACAGAGATGACTGTGGAGCAGCGTGGAGAAAAAAGTTATCGTTTATAGAGATTTTCTTTCCCTTTAGTTTTCTTTACCTAGGGCTGCTTTCTCTCATTTTACAAAAATTAAACACGTCTTATAGGTTGTGAGTTTTGTGCCAGTTATGCTGTAGTGATAGTTTTATATTATTATTCTTTTTGTAAAATTTACATTTTTAATTATTGAATGAATTGGTTGAAGTATGCTCTAACAAGCATTTGTAGCTCGCAAGTAAAATCTTCATCCTCATGACCTAAAACATAGGAGTAATGCAAAGTTGTCAGGTTACAAATCCTCTCTATATACCTTTTCTTTTTCTCTGAACATTTTGGTAAAGAAATAGGATTAAATTTTAAATTAAGCCTATAAAACTTACTTCTTTTTCTTTGAACATTTTGGTGAAGAAGTAAAATTAAATTTTAATTTAAGCCTATAAAACTTATTTATAAGACAAGGTTTGGACTGATTTATACCATATAAATTTATTTTATTTTTATTTAATATAAAATTTTCAATAAATTTGAAAACATATACATCTCCAGTCCAAAATTTAATAGATAAAACAATAAATTTAATAAATAACAAATTTTATTAAACAAATTCTAACATATGACTATGATATTATGTTAATAAATTTTAAGATTAAGTCGATCTTACAAAATCAACTTTGAAAATAAAATTTTCATCTATTTATATGTTACAAATTTGTTTTATTTATATTGTGATATCTAACAAAGGAAAAAATAATTAAGAAAAAGTAAAATATATATTTTTTAATTTAAATCGATTTGTTTTTGTACTTGTTTTTTTCACTTATAAAAAAATAGATGTACTGGTTTATTTTAAACTGTTAATGACTTGTTTTTGTTGTATAGAAAAAAAAAATACTATTTAAACATGACTTATTCCTACTTTAAGAAGTTCCTTTTGAAATAAATGTATAAGAAGTTTGGACCTAAGATTTTCTAGGAGATGGATTACCGAGTAATTAAGAAAGTGAGGCACTACCAATTTCATGTGAAAAAAATGATGAAAATGATTGATGTGGGGTGATTTAATTTGATTGGTAAATGATGTATTTATGAAAATGCAGAGGTTGTATGAGTTGGGAGGAAGAAGGGTGCTAGTGACTGGAACTGGTCCATTGGGTTGTGTTCCTGCTCAGCTTGCTACGAGGAGTAGGAATGGAGAGTGTGTAGCTGAGTTACAACGAGCTGTTCAAATTTTCAACCCACTGTTGGTCCAAATGATCAGAGATCTCAACTCTCAACTGGGCTCTGACGTTTTTGTTGCTGTCAATGCCTTCCAAATGAACATGAACTTCATCACCAACCCTCAAAGATTTGGTCTCTCTCATTCTTCTTTTTTATCACTAAATACTCCTATTCATTTTTTAACTCTTCCACCCACTTTAAATCACTTCTTGCAATTCAAATTAAAAACAATCAAATTATTAATAATTTCTTTAAGTGCATTTTAATTAGTTTCGAGTTTAAATTCAATAATAAAGTATATAAATGGACACTCCTATAAAACTCTAATTTTAATTTTTTTTACATCTGAGTTAAATACGTTTTTATTATTTAAACTATGAAATTGAAAGTACATCTTACAAAACCTTTGATATAATTTGTTTTTCTAATTTTAAAAAGTAGTTTTTCTAATTTAACAAGAAATGTTTCATGTTAATGTATAGATTTAGATGGTTTACGTTATTTGATATATTTTAGTTTAAATATTAATTTTGAATACCATTTCATATATAAAAGAAAATTAAAATCAATGGATTAAAAAATTTATATTCATTTATTTTTTAAGTTTCGAAACTTAAAATTTGGAATAGGTATAAATTTCAATTTTACATATAAGGAATTGTAAACATATTTAATTTTAAAAAAAATGAAAAATACTTATAAAATTGTATTTATATATTTTTTGAATAAAAGTTGCCTACAATGTAATAAAAGTTTAGACAATCAGAAGTTTTCACCAAGGCTTTGTTCAGTTGAATGAATTTCGGAGAGACTGATTGAATGAATTTGAGAAAATTTGAAGATAAATTTTTTGTTGTTTATTTGAGTGGATTTGGAGGTAAGTGAGAGTGGATTTGAAAGTAAAGTTTACAAGAAAATTACTGTAGGATTTGATTGATGTGACAAATTAAAAAAATTTACTTCCAAATCCAGTCTTACCTTCAAATGGTCTCAAATTCATTTAACCACTCTCCTTAATCCATTCAAGTGAACAAAGTGTAAGAATTTGAACTAATTTAAAATGGGTGAAAGAAAGGTAGATGGTTAAGATATTTTCATGAAGTGATGGAGAGGTAATGTTTTTTAATTGATATAGAAATTTTTTACATTTATACAATATTATCTTTTTTTTCTTTAAAATATAAAAATTTATTATTTTATAATCATTTTATCTTTGTAGTGTATATCAAATTAATGTTAATGCATGTTATTTTACCATTTTTTTAAAATTAAATTTAGAATTTTATGTAATATGTAACATATTTAATAAATACATATTATTTTTGGGATAACAAGACTTACCATATTGATGTTAAATTATAAATTTTTTAAAAATATTTTATTTTACTATTGATATTGAATATATATTTTGAATCAGATGCAATCCATATGTATCCTGATTTTGAATTGTTGGTGTGAGAGCAGGTTTTGTTACATCAAAAATAGCATGTTGCGGTCAAGGTCGTTTCAATGGGATAGGATTGTGCACTGTAGCATCAAACTTGTGCCCAAATCGTGACACATATGCATTTTGGGATCCTTATCACCCATCTGAACGTGCTTTAGGGTTTATTGTCAGAGACATCTTCAGCGGAACTTCTGATATTATGACTCCAATGAACCTTAGCACCATCATGGCCATAGACTCCAACCTCTATTAAGAG